ATATATGTATAATATATGTGCTCTTTGTCAGTATTAATTATAATATGATAATTCATAAACGATAATGCCCGCCATGTTTAAACAATCATGTCATACAGTGTCCGAAGCAACAATAGCTAAATTCGTTTAATACCGTTTGATTTCTATTTTTATTTCACAAATTAATCAAACACTCATCGTACAATATCATTATTCCTATAGAAAATTAAATTAATCCTCTCGGCCAATCGGTAATTTGATCACATCAACTGATTCATATGTGTAAATTGTACCATATTGTGTTAAAACACGACAATCAATTAGCAATTAATCAGCGATTGGGTTTCAATTTTGCTCAGTATTTTGCCGAATCATTACGCAGCGATGCACAATCTAAAGGCCGCGTCGGTCACTTTCGAAAAATTACAATAACAAATTCGCTTGAAATATTGTCGGTGCAGCCAACACTCGTGTATTTCTCTGAAGGAGGTTAATGGAAGTCGCGAGAAGTCAGTTTTTCTCTAAGTTTCACTGCACGTTCAAACGAAGTGGTTCTATGGCACTGCGGTTCCAATTTTCCACGCGGCGAAAGGCCCGACGTTGATTGTCGATACGGAAATCGAGAGTCAATCTCGCCGACCGCTCAACGAAAGCGAGAGCCTCTTTGCAGATAAATGTCAATAAATTACTCCAAACTGCAAATAAACACAGTCTTATATGGTGGACGATTCAAGGTTTTTCCTCTTCAGAGAAATTATTTTCGTTTCTATGAAAGGTAAAGATTTAATTTACAAATCGCTACAGCTGAGTTATATATGTTGTTTATCAAATTAAGATTTGGATGAGATTAGAAAGCTCTTGTTATTTAAATGAGAAATAAATTAATAAACTGTAATTGTAGAATCTGCGAACATTATCATATTGTATATGTATGTAGATGTAGATTAATTCTAAAAAGTAATGTGTCAAATTGTGTCAAGTATCGATGTCATGTAACCATCTACCGTCTGTTCCCGGAGTTATCACGTTGTATCACGAATTATCGTCATATATGTATTCGGTATGTAAATGTTGACGGAGATTGGTATGAGAAACGGCCCAAAAGACTATGATATAACCAGTTAAGAGGCCATTGAGACGTCCCATGAGCCGCAATCTGAGCCCATGAGACGCCTCTTGCTTGTTTTGTCACCTAAAACTCTCTTTATAACTCGAATTTCTTTATTAAGATTATATTATACTTATTTTTATTTTCAATGAAAAAAATGATAAATTATTATTATTATGGATTGCATTTAAAATTAATTAATTTTAATTAATAATTTTTAATTTTCTAATTATTTCGATTAGAGCTTACATTTCTATTTATTTATTTAAATAATTTTTTTGATCCAAGTTCTAAATCATCGCTAAATTTTTTTTATATTATTTTTAAACATGATTTAAAATAATCTATAAGTTTTTCATAATTTTCCCATTATGACAAAAAACATCCTTGCATAATACATCCTTATATAACATCACCGTAACTTTGATTTTGTATAATATGTAGTTATTTATAATGCAAATTTTTAACTCAATTATTCTTTATGTAATTATTTTTGCAATTAGTTTATATTTGCAATTGTAATTAATTATAATTTATTTCAAACTTCTGAAATTTAATATTATCTTTTCTAATTGTATCATTACAGTAAAGTTGCTTTCTCTTGATCGTGATCTTGATCGTGTATCTGATATCTAATACCTTCAATAACCATTTTAATTTGATTTTCGGGTTTAGAATTAAAAATTTTAATTTCGGCAGTGGTAAGAGAGGGTTCTAGCGCGTTAGCGCATCAATTGAAAGCCGCTGTTAAATAAATCGCGGAGGCGTTTATCGGCGATCAGCCGGCAGTCTATTTTCGAGATGGAAATCCTTAGCGCCGCGTGTTGCTTTATCACCGTGAAACCGCAACTATGCGGCTTCGCGGATCACAATGCTTTATAATTAATAAATCACGGCGTGACTGAACTTTTATCGGGGGGGCCCCGACCACCACGAAGGACGGTTATGGATGTCGCACTTTACAATGGCATTCGACAGGTAATCGCCATGACTGGTTCTTTGTTAGCAGGCTCCGAGCAGGACGGTCAATCGCTCGACAAGACGCGTCTGTATAATGGCGCAAATTCGACGGGATAACCGGCAAAATCGGAAAGTAGAAAAACCACGATTTACGATTTACATTAGTCCTGCGTAACGCTTAGAGATCTAAATACCCACGCACATTTTTAATTTTCGATATAAAAATGCTAATGTAAAGCCCCCTAAGCCCCGGGAAAGGGAGTCCAATTTAAATTCGAAGATTGCACAATCGATTTTATATTGTTTATATGTTAATTCATTCTCCATTCATTCGGTCAATATTCATTCGTTAAATATTCCGCGTTACATAAAGCGCATTGTTTTACGATCTGCGATTCTTTTTGCGAAGCTTGCGAACAACCGTGCTGTAAAATGCAGTAGCTGCAGCCCGTTACGTAGTAAATAAAAAAGCGCTTCAGGCTGACATCACTGGCTGGATTGTTACGTTCGACGGAAAATAAATAAATGCTTGAAGCGTTCCTCGAATTATTATCGCGTATTTATTTAATGGCGTTGCTCTCAAGTTGGAGAGTGCAATCATGCTGAATTCCAGCCATTAACCATGCAAAATCATGCATATATAACTGAATATTTTCAATTCATTCGAAATTTTTTATTCTTTTATGATCAAGCCAAAAGCTTTGCCATTCTGCTCTGGCTGTTAAAATTTGCAAATCTAAATGTTTTTAATTTGTTAGTCGGCGCTTTTTCCGTTTATTTCAAGATCCTTTACGCCATTTTCATATTACTTGTAAATACACAAAAACAATAAATAAAAAAATAAAATATAAACATATATATAATATAAATATAAATATATAAAATAAAATATATAATATAAATATAATATAAATATATTTAATCATAAATATATATTTATTTTTTATAAGTTGTTGAAAGACTTCAAAATTGTGCGTTTAAGCATTATAAGAAAAAAAGCTATGTCCATTACGGTGGACGTTGATTGCCAGTGAGTTAATTACCGGACTTAATCGCCCAACGTAATTGGTTCTGCATCATATTGTATCGCATAGCTCGCACGTTACAAGACACTTCCAGTTCTCTCCCAGCCCCGTCGCGATTCGTCTCGGCATTTTACGTGCGATCCGTCGCGCTGGTAAGAAAAAAACTCGGGGGCGATTCGCGACGCGCGACTCGGAGGGCGAGAAGGAGGGCGAAAAAGGGTGAACGGAAAAACGGGAAGAGATAAAACGAGAACGTCGCCGGCGACACGTCGGCGTTGCATCGGGATGATAAAGGAAAAGCCACAAGTCTAATCTCAGTCGGTAGAAGAATTTTATGGCCGTAGGTCTCCGTACTACAATTACAGTTCGTTGAACCGGGAGCGAAGGGCGCGCGAGAAAGGAAAAGGGGCACGTCGGGATTTCCGTCGGTGTATTTAGCGCGCTGATAACGCCATTTTAAACAATGCTTCCGATTATCTAGATGAGATTCAACGGGAAAATGAGTACGATAATGGCTGATAACGTAGTCGACGAACGTCTCTGCTTTTGTGTAGAAATCATTTGCATCGTCCTCGATTGTCTTTATTTCGAAAGTCCTCTGATATCTTTAGTTCCTCTTTTAAGGAAGAGATACGGAAGAAATGCTTTTAACGTAATTAATTAAAATGTGACACGCGACCATGCACTCATTTCGCTTTTGTGTTATGTTAATTTCAAATTAAAACAATTTTATTTTAAATCACCGATGATTTCTGATAATAAAAAACATATTTATTAAGAAATTATTAATAAATTTTAACGAATATATTTCAAGATGCATTATATCTATTTTTATAATTTTTATTTAAAATAAAAAATTATGACAAATTTACAGATTATTCTTTAAAATTGCATTTTAAAGTAATGTAATAATAAAAAAAATTTAGTGGCGATTTAAATTTAGATAAAAAATTATTTAAATAAAAATGTGTTCCAATAGAAATATAAAAAAATAACGACAAAAATCTCAAATTAAAATAATTTTTTATCTAAGTTCTAAATCATTAAACTTTTTGTATTATTTTTAAACGCTAACATAATCTATCTAACATAATCCATAATTTTTCCATTGTATTGTAAATAAATGTAAAAATAAATGTAAAATACATTCTTAATTAAAATTTGTTTTCGATATCGATAACGAAACGAAATTCTACTATAAATTTCTCGATTCAACGAGAAAACATTTGAAATACACTTATAAAAAGCTATCGCTCAGGAATACCAATTAGAAACCAATTAGAAAAATGATGCATAAGGTACGACGAGCATAAGGTAAATCTGATTTTACGATATTTTTTCCGAAATATCCGAAAAACGTAATTAAATGATCGTACGTATATTTATAAATGTTCGATATTTGTTGCACATTTTATCTTCTTTGCGAGCTGGATGACGTGAACAATCGCAGGTTAAACGCCGAATTATTGCCGTACGTCCCACGGGATGCGATGCGGCACGCGTAGAGGGATGCGTGCGCGGCGCGGACGCTCCTTCCCTCTCCTCTCTCGCTCGTGTGGTCCACCACCACACCACCCCGGACCTATATATTTCCCGGAGGGTCTCCCACTTTCGCCACTATCACTCCTGTCGCGGTGGCGTTCGTGCGCGCCACACACGCTTGGCCGTCCTTCCTGCCGAGTTCACGCGGAGGCCGGAAGCCGCGATTCGTTCTTTGCGCATCTTTGCGTGTTCTTCGCGTGTTCTTTCCCAATCCTTCCGTATTTCCACCTCTCCCCGAGTCGAACGCAGTGCTGCAATTTTGTTTCCTGTCGCATCTCTCCTTTAAAAGGGAGAATTACGATTACTGTGGTTGCGTGCATTTTTCGGATCGAAACAATCGGCGTGTAATCCCCCCTTTCGTGCGCGGGGTTGCACGAGGGTTTTTTTTTTTTTTTTTTTTATACGGGACATGTGTACCACGTGGGTCCGAGACGGAGGATCCACCTGCTGCCGCTCCTCTCGAGTAGGATTAGGCGGGCAGGCAAGACGGTGAGTGAGACGAGCTCCGTAATTGTGGAATGCTATTTAATTTAGTCTGAGTCTCTTTAATTTTCTACTTAGAATTTAGAATATTGAAAATTGAAAAATTACAATTGTAAATTGCGAAGTGCTTTGAAAAAATATACAAATGCACTTTCTTCGGAATTATCAGTATTTATATTGGCGAAAAGTATGAGGAATCTCATTTGTTTATGAAAATGTCTATCCTCCGGAGTAACATGTCAACAATATTATATCATTGCAAAAAAATATTTTTTTATTATAATAACGCGACGATATGTGAATGTTATATTAATCTTCGATATATATATATATATCAATTTTTATATATATGTAATTTTTTAAATATTTCACATTATTATTTTACTCGTTGACGATCGACGCAACGGTTGCGCTAATCGTGCGTACGCATCTTTGAACGTGTTCACACGTTCAAAGACCGTCTGATGGACAAAGAATCGAAGACGTCAAACGCGTCGGCGGAAAGGCGACGTAGCGAGACATGGGAGAAGGGCTGGGACAAATTTATCCGTCGACTTTTCCACTAATTTATCATCATAGGGCCGTACTTCTCTTCGCGTGCTCTTCGCATATTCTTCGCAGCTGTTCACACAACGGATCCTCGCACTCGTTGTCTTGCGACTCGAAAACTGCGACATAGACACCTCTTTATACCCGCCAGATAGCGACTTAATGATCAGCGCATAAATTGCCTCCATCGCTCTTATCATACCGATTCTTCCGCTCTTATCACACCTGTTCTCCGCGTATCGCGCACGTAATCGCGGTTTTCTCGACGCGATTAAAGCAGAATTGCCGACTAAAATAGAATTCAGAGTATCGGCAAACATTCGTCGTAAATGATCACGCAAGATCCGTTACGATGCGTCTCATATTTTTAGTTTCTATGAATTTTTTTGGAAACTTGGTAGTTAACGTTTTTTGCATAATGCCATGTGTAAAAAAGAAGATGACGTTGCAATTACTTTGGTTTTACTTTTGTTTAATACAGCATAGCTGTCAATATTATTAAACATACGTAGAAAATTAATTATTAAAATTATTTTCTGGATGTAAGTAATAATAAGTAATAATAGATAATAATAAATAATTGTAATCTCGATAATGACGCAATTTCCGGATGAATAAGCGTTATTTGTCTTTCTAACACGGCTTGATCACAAATAATTATCGCGTGTCTTTAGCTTGTATTGCAGTTATTAATATTAATTAACTAGATAACTTCGTCACTTAGAGATTCCGATGTAAGATAATGTCAGCGTGTAATATTGTATAAAAAGAGGAGAAGTATTAAAACCCTCAATTTCAAATCAATTTATCTCTTAGGCTTTCCTTAGAATGTCCGGCGGAGCGACTACGTTATTAGCGTTTAGAATGTATTGAATGCGTCTGACCTAATTTTTTATACGTTCAACATACGTTCACATACATTTGCGACACATTTGCGTCGGTGTCGAAATAATGGCTGAATCGTCGGTCTCTCCAAGCCGTTAGTGTTTCCAGGCGTGTCGAGAAGCTTTAAGAGGAATTCAGAACGAATCTAATAAGCGCCGGCTCGACGACGGATGGCGCATTAAAGCTTGGTCGCGACGTTCGGACGAGGGGAAAAAAAGAGAACGGGGAGCTTAAACCTTCTGAAAGTTAAGGCGATCAGTCGGTCTCCACGTCTCGTTTCTCTCGCGCGCTGCTTCTCGCCTTTACGGGACATCGTGATTTGTTGCCCGGCGTTTTTCTTATGCTCTCTATACCACTTGCCCCGTTAATGAGCCCTGCCCTTCATGTTTCGCGCGCAGGATGGCCTGACCCTCGGAGCAAATCTTCCATGGACCGTTCACGAAAAGATGATTCGCCACCGCCGTGCATCTTTCCCGGATTTCCGCGTCGACGAGGTCGCCGGCGATCCGCCGTGATCAGGGCGCTGGATCTGAGGTAAGCGCAGCGCTATTATTCTCCTGCTTGCGACAACATAAGAGTTTGCGCCAAGAAATGGAAAATATATTAAGTTTTTAAGCAAAAGCATGGCAAAATATTATACGAAAAGCTATATCTAAATGTACAATTTAGAGCAAGCGTGACACTCGCGCGTTGAGCTTTAATTGACATTCAGCGTATTGAGACTTATCATTTTGTAATGATCATTTCGATCATGTCAATATTAAAAAATATAAAAGCCAGTAAAAATGCGAAAAATATCGCGAATGACGGAGATTCAAGATGATGAATCTTTTAGCTTCTTTTTTGACAGAGTGTTTACTATCTGGAAAAAATCTGAAAAGCCTAAAATTTTTAGGGAATTTGTTTATGCCTTGAAAACTTTTCAGAGAATTTTACTGAAAATCAGGAGTTTAATTTTTTTTTTAAATATTTTATCTTTATATTTTTTTATCGGAAGTTTACCAGTTGAATTGTTAACGACAATAGTAGATCCATCTACTTTAAATATCAGAGTATATTGATTTTACGACTAATCCAATATTCAGTATTGAAAACAATGATTTTACGTTAGATGCAATTTTGTTTAATAAAAACAAATATTTATTTTAATTGTTCCATAAAAATTGAATTTTTTTGATTATGCTTTATATATTTTTTTGTTTGTCGTTTTTGAAAATAAAGTTTGAAAATTTTATGTAATATAAAATATTTATCTTTTACAATCTCTTTATAGTTTTATCAAAGCTTTTCAAATTCAATTATTGAAACTCGAATTCTTAATTTTATTTTATGATATTTATATATTTTTATGATGGAAAATATGAAGAACTTTGCACAATAAATATATATTTGTAAGATGCATTTAAAAATACTTTCATTTTACCTAGAATTTTTAACAAATTAGGAAATACCTAGGAAATTGTTTTTTTCGGGTAGACTTTTTGTTTCAGAGAGAGAATTGCAAAATTCGAAACTTTGTCGAAACAACTTTGAATGTCTTAAAGTTCAGAATGCTTTTATCAAAGCGTTTCAAGAAAAGCGTTCCATGATCGACGTACGTCGAATGTTTTTGAGGCCAAGTTTGAGGAATTCAATGACGTTAAACTTTTGAAGATAAAAGGCCAGATATTATAAATTATTCAAGATATTTGCGTTGAGAATACATTCAAGCCGAACCTTCCTGTGGCATCGAGCTACAACACATTTGAATAACACGCAGGCTTGAGATACGCGCTTGAAAGCGCGCTTTCTGCGAGCAAAATATGAAGCACGCTCGCGGAAGATACATCGAGAGTAACTCGCTGCACGCGAGTGAGTTACGATATAATTAGGCGCCGGTATGCAAAACCGGGAGATACTCGGTCGTTAGAACACACAGGTGGCATTGATGAATTTATAAGCGCCATTGAGCGTAGCGATTAGATATGAAACATGTAACTACCGTCTCCTGATCTTTAAAAATATGATTATTTCTGTATTATTTAGAATAAAATTAAACGTATATAAATATAATAAGTGAGTGCGGAATAATAGAAATAGCTTCTTGGAAGATATGACTTAAGAGTTACAAAAATAATAAGCTAGATTGGACAAGTAAAAAGTAAAAAAAAGAAAAAAAAATAAAAACGAATTAGGATTGGAAAAAGTGGTCATATGTTATGATACGTTTTTTTTAAATTTATTTCGTTCGGGCGCGAACGGAAAGCTACCTGTGTTTTTGTATTACAAGAGTAAACAGTTTTGCAGCTCGGATTGACAGGTTCTTATTAAGTCGTAGAACCTAGCGTCGGCCAAGATCGATCTGCGCGATACGCGGATAATGATAGCGTTCAATTCGATCCGCGTTTGCATTTTACGACTGCGGATTAATATAAAACTGGACGGGGCGAGATCAGACCGGACGAGCGAGAAAAACGTTCTATTCTCGCGCGAAAACACCCTTCGATGACTTCCTTCGTCTTAATGGCAGGACGTCTCTCTCTCTCTCTCTCTCTCCCTTTCCTCCGGTGCACGTTGCGCCGGGTGGTTTATTTTTAATGTGGACACCTCCCGTAATAATCCTCCCGATGTGCGCGCAAACCCGCGGAACGGGACATTAATCCTTGCTCTCGTTACTTTCGATGCTCCAGGCAGAGGCAAATCCCTTGTTATCCGCGGCCTTCCTTCTTCCTTCATACCACGTCGTCCTGCATACCGATGCCGGTGCATAATTACCGGGTTTCGATCAGGCAAGCACATCGCCGCGTTTCCGCGTCCCTCGAAAAGAAGCGTGCGATTCCGTTCCTCCTGGAACGCGTTTCGTATCTCGGTCGATTCTCTTCTCGAAGCGCGCTCTCCGCGCGCGAGGAATCCGTTTTCATATCCACATTTTCATTTCTTATGTCTGCCTGATTGAAAACAACACTCTCTGAGAATACCTGAAAATAAAAAAATTCCAGATTTACTTTCCCGAAGGAAATATGGAAATATTTCTTTGGAAAAGGAATTACAAGATGTTTTTTTTTCTATTATTTGTCACGCTGCGATGACTTTTATGTCAAGATTTGAAGAGTTTCACGGGAATTTACACAATTACACGGAATATTATAATAAAACTTGTAACATAATTTAATATAATAATTATAATATAATAATTATATTACAATTTATAATATATATATTATAAATAAAATTAGTACATTTAAGTCTTTATTTGAATATACACTTATTACCCTTTATGGCCCTTTTCTCTCTTTCTTTCGTCACATTATATAATTATACTTGCTTTTAATTTTTGTAAATAGTATCTTAGGATTATTAAAGTTGTTACTTCCGACGTGGAATATCTTCATAAGACAGAAACGGGAGAAACGTGAATCTCTGCAAATTTCTCTGTTCCCTTATCTCGAATTTCTCCGTAGTACGCGCTCGGAACAAGTGCTAATTACTCCTGTTTTAATAGCGGAATAACTACGGCGCATAAAAATTTCCGCTGCGGGATTATTAAATTCCCGCTTTAACAGTGGAAGCGGACACAAAGCGTAGAAATACGAAAAATTAGCTGCGCCGTATTGCGGTTATCTTCTGTCTTATGCAAGTATTTCGCTACACTGAGGTAAAAAACATTCACTTTTTTATCAAGATAAATATGTAATATTTTATAACACAGTATGTTATGTAAAAATGGAATAAGGAGTTATATATAAAAATATAATAATGTACAATATTTTTCTTTTTATTATTATAACATCGAGATGAATTCTGCGAAACTCTCCGGAATTTGACATTGATTTATGAAGCTATCCATATTTTTTTTTTAAATTTCAAAAATCATTAATCAAAACTTTGTCATATTTTTTTATAATATTATAAATTATCATAGATTCTATGAGTTACGCGAGTTATATACAGAAAAAAATTAATCTTAAACCAAGATAAATATTCTGTATTATTTAGAATAAAATTAAACATATATAAATATAGTAAATGAGTGCGGAATAATAGAAGTAGCTTTCTTGGAAAGATATGACTTAAGAGTTACAAAAATAATAAACTAGATTAGAATAAATAAAAAATAAAAAAGTAAAAAAAATAAAAAATAAAAACGAATTAGAATTGGAAAAAGTGGCATATTTTGAAGCAAGAATATTATATAAACTTCTTAAAAAAATTGTAGTCTTAATTTGCTTGAATTTGTATCGATGCAAGCATTTTATTTTTGCTCAATTCAGGACTGGAAAGTGAAGTGAATCTTCTAAGTGAAGATTATAATATTCTTGCTTATATGTACAACAATGTCTATCTTGATTTAAGACTAATTTTTTTCTGTTATTATCATTATCTGAGCTTTGTTTTTTAATTCCGAGGATAATTAAAGTAAAAAACGATAATATTAACATGAACCCGTTTCTCTTCGAGATTATTCGGCGCCGTGGGGGGTTAAACGTGATCGGGCTACCTTGCGAATGCGCTTTTTTACCGTGCTGCGACGAATAATATCGTCCGGCGCGGCGAAACGATTCAAAAGCCCGCGTGCCATGTCGCTCGTCGACGTTGACGTCCGTGAAGGTACAATAACTCGTGCATCGCCCGCGTGCAACGTTAATCCCCTGCCGGCCGAGGGGATGAACCTCCCCCCCCTCCCCCCGTTCTCCCGGAGGAGAAAAAAGAAAAGTCGACGCGAACAATAAGCAATCTGTAGCAGGTCCGTATGGTAATTATGTTGAGTCTGAACGCGCGCGGATACGATTACCGCATAGGCCTTCCGCGGATCACATGCGGTATACATTACGTACGGTATGCGATCGTTTAGCGGAACGAGTACACAGGGCGTCCCAGAATCCACGTACTTTTTCCCAATCGTGAAGAAATCAAATCGAGATAGAAGACTCGTGATTTCGTGGAGATTTCTAGCTTTCACTCTAGATCAAGGGATCGAGCGATGTACTTGTTTAACGCAAATAACAAAGCTTTAAATTATTTATTATTATAATAGTGAATAAAATTTACGCTAACAGTAGAATTTTAGTTTCATACAGTTTTTTTTTGGAATAATAATCGTTACGATATTTACATGTCTGATGATCGTGACTCAATTTTAATTTATAATTTAATATCCTTGGAATTTCCTACATGTTTATGTATTATGTACGCGCGGTATTTAAATATGATAGAATGTTGCCCTTGCATTATTTCTTGCATCAAACTGACAGAAGAGATAAAACAAATACGTAAAGTCTTTTGACTTGTACATCAGTCTACACATAATAAGAATAATTTCTTTTAGAAAAGAACAAGTAATTTATTTATTTGTCATACTTTTAATTATTTAGAAACCAAAGTTTGCAGGTAGAATTATTGAATATTTAGAAAATGAGTTAGGGGATCAATTTGAGATCGAAGAAAGATCGATCGACTCGCGAGCTTCGAAAGTTTTTACCTCGAATGCGATTTACGAATCACCGTGTACAGTTCGTCAGCAGAAACTGCCACAAGCAAGGGCATATGCTAAGCGC